TCCTCCTCCTTCTCCTCGAAATGCGAAAAACTGGGTTAAATTAAACGGGATCCCCGATTTTTGTTATTTAACGTTGACGTAATTGGAATCGATGCGTGAAGCCTCGTCGTTCCCGAAAAAAAAGGAGAACGAATCTCTCGTTTTTCTTCCATCTCTCTAAATTAATTGGGTTAATTGAAGTTCGAAGAAACTTTTTTCACGGTTAAAAGTTAAAGAGGATCTTTTCGAGAGCGAAAATATTAGATATATTTCGAGGTGGAATGGAGAAATATATACACGTAAGATGATATAATTCTTCAAGGTAATTTTGAGAATTGCGGGAATCTCAAATAAAATTCACCTTTTAACTTTAAATTAATCGATCAACGAAATTTTTTTCTTCAATTTTCCAGCCAATTTCTCGCTCTCGATCGATGTTTCTCTCGTCTAAGCGCGCGCGCGCGCACACACATACACGCCCACCGCATCCTTTACGATTTTATTCGAAGCGATCGAGCGAGAGTTTATCAGGCAACGTTTATGATTAAACACGGTTATATCTCGGCCTTCGGACGAAACCGATTCAATCTCGTCTCTTCGCGCGAACGTTCATTCAATTTTTATTGCACCGTTTTTTTTTTATCCGTGAGAACATCGGCCATCTGGACGCGAAATTGTTACTTTTTTCTCTCCCTCTCCCTCCTCGTCCCTCCCGCTAATTATTTTCCTTCCCTCGGGCGGCGCAATTACGTTTCCCCACCTTTTGCTCGCGCAACACGCGTTCCCGCGAATTTTCCATTCGCTTAACGATCATGTTTACAAGAATTATGATGGATAATTCCCATGCTGGATCCTTTAATCCTTATTTCGGTATCTCTTTTCTTTTTTCTTATTCATTATTACTTTAATATCGATATTTATCGTCACGTACCCTCCTCCCCGGTCTCCCCTTCTTCTTCCATTTTTCGATATCGTTAACGCGAATGATAAAAATAGCTTCGTCGAGATAACGTACGTTGTTTTGTATCTCGTTTCGTGTGTCAATGATCGAATATATATAAGTAGTATATAAGTTCTTCCGAAATTTATATGAGTTTTCTGGATCTCGTCGATTTAAAAAAATTTTAAAAAATCGAATTTGAAAGAAAGATCGTAGGTTGAATTACGTCATCATGCGTAATCATTGCATCCATCTCGACAAACATTGCTCAAACACACCCACCAAGTATTTCTTTAAACATCTGCATTTCTATGAAAACATTGCGCGATAATGCGATATGATAATAAAAATTTAATATTTTCACAGCGAGATGAAAGATTCCTCGAGTTACGAGTGTTTCCTTCTTTTTTTTTTTTTTTTTTTTATACGCAGAAACTGCTCGAAGAAATTACTCCGATCAATCTTGGAGTAAAGAAGTTACCAGGTACGATGTTGTGTACAATTATATTATATTTTATATATATATATATGTATAAAAATATTCACTCACCCGTCGTTCCTCTTCGCGTGCAGCTCTTAAATGAGATTCGATCGCGTCCAGATCGATTTTCGGCATCGCTGTTTCGATATTGTAGACATCGAAGCCGCCTTCCATGGAAAAAAAATCACAAGTGAGGCATTAACTTTGAATACGTTACGATAACTTTGTATCGTTACGATAATAGCGCGCAATTAAAAGCGATAATCGAAATCGAGTAATGATCGAAATAGGAAAAAAAAAAAAAAAAAAAAAAAAAAAAGACATCGTGGAAACTTTTGTCTGGCAACTTTCCAAACCACTCGTCACTTATTATTTCTTCACTTTTACTTTCCTTGATAATTGTAATTGAAATTTTCTTTCAGATTCGCAACACGATGAATATTGCACGGTAATATTGCTGATTTTACTCGTGTACACCGTGTGAAATTTGAAGAGGGACGAGCATGAGAATACTCGGGAGGAAGAAGCGTAAATGAGAAGGCATCGTGAAAGGCATCGTGTCACGTATAATAGATACAGTCGAGGTGCTTTTATTGTCCTAGAGATTACGCTAATCGTGCTGGCTTCCTGCGTGAAAAACGACAAGAAAATTTGATTCTGATTACGCCTCTTTTTTCCCTCTCTCTCTCTCTCTCTCTCTCTATCTCTGTGTGTGTCTGGTTGCGTAAAAATCGAGATACGGGTTCCACGCTTGTTTTATTCCATGCTCTTGCACCGTGAAATTTCACTTCTGTTGAGAAACCAGAATTAATCACACATGGTGCAAAGAGCACACGAGTACCGGAAGTACCGGAAGATTTTTCTTTATCTTCGTGACGTTTTAACGAGCGTAAAAGTTTGTTTCGACGAGTAATTTAACGACTATATAATAACAATATTTTTAATTATTATTCTCACGATCGTGTAATCCAACAAATTCCAAATTTTTTATCTCCAATATATCGAAAGAATTCAACGAGGGTCGATCGATCAATGCAAATCGCATTCCCTGTGAAAAATGACTTGATCAATCGACTTGGATCAACTACCTTCGATAGTTTATCATTCCCTCGATTCCCCGATTAAAAAAAACGATAAAGAGGATTTTTCAAATGCACAAGTATATTCTCAGGGAATGTGACTGTCATGCCAATTCTTCTGAACCCTCCCGTATGAACGAGTCTGGTCGATAAAAATCAAATCTTCCTTATCCCGACTCTCACGCGCGCGCACACGCGCAAACAACTGTACGGCTGGAACATATACCTGGTCCATTGTCGGCGTCGGCTCTCCTCTTGTCGGGCCGCCTCTGAGCGTTCGCCGCCCTCAACTGCTGCAACTGTTGCTGTTGCTGTTGCTGTTGCTGTCTGCGTTTCGCCTGATTCCTGGCCATCTTCTCCTTCTTCCTCGTGTCGGCGCTCGAGGCCTCGGGAAGATCGCGATCCATCAGCTTGTTCGTGTCCTCGATGGTGTCCTTCATCATAGAGGAGGAGGAGGAGGATCTGGAGGAGGCGTGGAGCGGGTCCACAGCTTCCATCGCGACCACGTCCGGCACCGGTTGCACGTACTTCTCGAGATCGAGGCCGATATCACGGCCGATGCTCGAGAGGAGATCGATCTCCTCGAGCTTGGTGTAGGTGGGCTGCTCCTCCGGGTAACTGTCGGTGTCGGTGTTGCTCTCCGAGTCGTCGTCGGCCGAGCCGGTCGACGTGACCGTCTGACGGTTGCCTATTTTGGAACGGGTCTGGTGAGGCAACTCCTTTGCCTCGCGTATCAGGTCGATGTGCTCCACCACGATATCCTCCGTCTGAAAAAGACAATGCTCGTTAGCAGTTGGGTGAACGCTCGCCGCTCAAACGGGAATGGGATAACGCGGTTGTCGGGATCGGCTTTCCCGTTTATATTTCGCATATACTTCTGTCTTCGTTCTTATCCGTGAATCTTGTAATAGCGCATAGGGCATTTGAAAAATACGACTTCGACTGGTTATACACGTTTTGTATATTCTCCTTTCTTAAAATTTCGTGACGAATCTTGTATAATAAACGATAAAATTTAATTGGTAAAGGATTGTTGAGAATCGTGGTTAGAAAGCGGTTTCGTTTAATGTTTGGTAAAGATTGATCGGTGGCGAATTAATTTGACAAATTGATCGATTCGTATCGCGCAACACTTTGAAACAGAACAGGAATGGAACACCGTGCGAGTAATCGATAAAATTTTTTTGGGCTCTCGTTCGAAATCACGATCGTTAAATTAGCGACCACTCATCCGCGACACGTTGACACGGTTGCAAAAGAGCAGCCTGATTCACACCATCGTTAATTGGTATTTAGTTACTACGTGGATCGTCCCAAAGTTTCCGGAAATTGTTGATTAACGAACGGTCGTGTAACACACACGTAGCCGGCCGCTCGACTGGCGCTGTTTTAAAACGAGGAACGTATATACCGTGAACTCTGGTGAATGCATTAATGTGTATACTGCACGCGTGTGCGTCCAGTGTGCAGTCATTAGTCTTCCACATGTGCCGGCGAGAAGTATGACACGGACGATATAAAGCGAATTCTCGTTAATCTTGATTGCCCGTGCTTCATCGCAACAGGAATCGTTTCTCCCGTGCTCGGTTTTTAATCCTTAATTGCTGTGAAAAATGGCAGCAATTAAGCGTTTTCTTTTTTTTTTTTTTTTCCAATCCTATCGACGGATTATTCAACGCGAATCGATGAATCTACGTATCGTTTTTTTCGCGTGTTTGTAACGCGTTATTGAACAACATTTTCTTAATATAAAGAAACGTTCAACTCCTTCAAATAAAAATTCACATGATTTCGAGTAATCTTCAAGCTTCTACTTTTCGAAACTCCGTGTAAATTTAAAAATTCACAAAGATTTGGAATCGCGATTGTTACGAGAAATATATGATCGAAATTGTTGATTGCGCGAAAGAATAGAATAGAAATGAAGAAGAAAGACAGGAACCCACCTCACCGACCTCGCTCGTCTTCCCAGAGTCCGGTATCTCCTCGATTTCCGGAAACTGGAGGGTCTCTTTCACGCTGGTAGTCAATTCCACGATCTCGACCTCGACCGGGATCTCCCGTTCCTGCTTCTCCTCCAGCACAGCCTCCGACAATTCCGCAGCGTTCTCCGCGACCGTGTCGGCGAGGCCCTCTTCCGGCTCTAGAACGGTGAGATGCGTCTCCGCCTCGACCACGTCGTTCACGATGTCCGATTTCGGCGTCACGATCTTTTCCTCCGTTCTCGAATCCTCAACGCTTTTCACGTAGTTTATGCATTTCTCCGATGGCGGCACCACCGACTCGTATAAAGACGTTACGGTCTGGAAACAGAGTTGATTCGAGACGATTCAGTCCTCTTGGGCCTTGGATGCCTGTTTATTTACCTATTCCATTATTCGTGCCAACGTCGGCCGAGTTACTGTTCTCTTGTGTCGTAGAACTATGCGGCAGAGCAATTGCGAATTCCAATCATAAAACTATGTACAGTGGGGAACAATAAGTATTTGCACGTTCTATTTATTGTATCCAAAAAAAAAGAATGGAGTTAAGTTAAATTAAATTTCAGTATCTGATAAAAAGAAAATATATATATGCAAATACTTTTTGTATATGTATATATGTATTATATAGTTTGATTCGATTGTATTGTAAATTTTTGTGATTATTATATTGATTTTAAAATAATTAGGATAGCAACATGTATATATATATATGTACACATATATTCATTTACAGGAGGAATACGCGTAAGAGTCAAGATTAGTATTCAGAATCCATTTTCGAGAGCTTATAGTCAGTTGTTGCTACCCAACAGACTGTTTCGCACATGACGACTAAAAGCGGCGGTGTTAAGAAGGAAAGTAACGCGTATACTTAGATCTGGAGCGCAGCAAGTTTCTTTGAAGCTGATCATTGGATTCTCGTGCGTTATCGCGTTGGCGCCACCGATCGACCGATACTTTTTTCTTTGCTATACCACGCTATACAACGCTCTTTTTAATACGTATCGGCCTGGGTTTAAGAGATGAGACCGCGACTAATTTAAATATAGGGGGAAAAATTCGAGGCATTCGAAGGTTGCTATAAATAGGCTGGAAGCCGAGAACGAAAGAAATTGGAACATAATTGAGCATTGCTCTGTTGGGGTGTATTTTGGACCGGCCGGGACAAATGCGGTGCTTGAATGGAAGCTGCAGCTAAATTTGAAACGCGTCAAGTTAATCATTATCAATTGCGAGTCTCCATTTGCACTTTTTTCTACTTTTCTTCGATCGAACAAAGTAATTCGAATATTCTTGACTATCTCTCTTAGACATCAATCTACAGCAATCATTAATCCTCACTTTCCAAACAATAATCTTCTCCCTTATAAATAAAATTTCAATTAACTAACGTGTATTTTCTACGCATTCATGATATAAAAACAACATTTTTCATCTATATATTGAATTTAAATTTCTCATAAAATATCTTCCTCTGGTTTCTCGTTTCCAAATGGATAATGCTATACAATTCTCAATACTCATAAAATATCTCCAAATACGTTATCCATACTATCATCCTTCAGACAATTAATTAATCCTTACTTTTCAACAATAATCTTCTCCCTGCATATCATGAAAAATAACAAAATAACCAAAGATAGAAAAACAATATTATTCACTTGTATATTGAATTTAGGTTTCTCATAAAATATCTTCTCATTTCTCTGCCTGTCTAAATGGATATATAATTCTTAATATTCAGAAAATGTCTCCAAAAAGGTTATCCATAATACATCCTTCAGACAATTAATTAAGCCTTACTTTTAAACAATAATCTTCTCCCCGCATATCATGAAAAATAACAAAATAACCAAAGATAGAAAAACAATATTATTCACTTGTATATTGAATTTAGGTTTCTCATAAAATATCTTCTCATTTCTCTGCCTGTCTAAATGGATATATAATTCTTAATATTCATAAAATATCTCCAAATATGTTATCCATAATACATCCTTCAGACAATTAATTAATCCCCCCTTTGAAACAATAATCTTCTCCTTTAAATAAAATTTCAATTAACTAATGTGTAGGTAGAAAAACAATATTATTCACCTGTATATTGAATTTAGGTTTCTCATAAAATATCTTCTCATTTCTCTGCCTGCCTAAATGGATATACAATTCTCAATACTCATAAAATATCTCCAAATATCTCCATAATATATCCTTCAGACAATTAATTAATCCTCACTTTTCAAACAATAATCTTCTCCCTGCATATCATGAAAAATAACAAAATAACCAAAGATAAAAAAACAATATTATTCACTTGTATATTGAATTTAGGTTTCTCATAAAATATCTTCTCATTTCTCTGCACCCAAATGGATATACAATTCTCAATACTCATAAAATATCTCCAAATATCTCCATAATATATCCTTCAGACAATTAATTAATCCTCACTTTTCAAACAATAATCTTCTCCCTGCATATCATGAAAAATAACAAAATAACCAAAGATAAAAAAACAATATTATTCACTTGTATATTGAATTTAGGTTTCTCATAAAATATCTTCTCATTTCTCTGCACCCAAATGGATATACAATTCTCAATACTCATAAAATATCTCCAAATATCTCCATAATATATCCTTCAGACAATTAATTAATCCTCACTTTTCAAACAATAATCTTCTCCTTTAAATAAAATTTCAATTAACTAATGTGTAGATAGAAAAACAATATTATTCACCTGTATATTGAATTTAGGTTTCTCGTAAAATATCTTCCTCTCGTTCCTCTGCCCGCACAAATGATTGATGCTATCCTCGACGTTGTTGTTGTACTCGTTGTCGTTCTCTGCCGGTCTCGCGTCGATGTCGTTCAGCCTGGTGTAATCGCAGCTCTCGTGCTCGTCCTCGGTCAGATCTGTGTCCGACAGAAGAGAAGGCGCCAAGTGTTGAAAGCCAGGATAATTGGGGTTGACGATACCGCGACAACCCGCGGGCAGATTTCCCTCCTCAGACCAGTCGGACCACTCGGACGGTGTCAACTCGTGGGACGAATCTTCGTGAGAGGAGTTACGCCCTGAGGAATTTCACGCCAGTTGCACACATTGCACGAATTAATGAATAATCGGCGCCGCCGCCGCCACTGACTCATCGCAGCTGCCGCAGACGCATCCGATTTTATCGAATCGCTTCATTAAGAGAACGTTTCTGAAAACGTTGCTGGGCTCTATATTGGCTCTATATCTGGTGCTCGTAGATATTTCTTCCATCTTGTTTATTTTTTTTTTTGTGTTTATTTTGGCGAATTATTAAAAGGAAAGCAAGATAGGAACGCGATTGGCATGGAAGATAAGGAAAATGTGATATGGGAGAATGAATGTAGTATTTTTTTTTTTTTGATTGTGTTGGAAAATTATGAAAAAGTATAAAATATATTGGAAAAAGAGATCGTGTTTCGTATTTGAATATTCGAGTTTCTCTCTCGTTTATTTTAAAAAAAATATGGGAGAAGCATTAGAGTGTAATTGGAATGGGAACTTAAGGATACGTAGTGGAAAATGAGAGTTGAATTTTTCTCTTTTTTTCTTTTTTATCGAAGAATTATAACGGATAGATCGGTGAAAGAAGTAATGGAAAAGTTATTGTATTGGAGAATTATGGTAAACAGATTAATCGAAGAAAGAAAGTAATGGAAAAGTGATTAATGAATTTGAAAGATTTTATAGGAGAAAGATTAGAGTTTGATTGGTTTGGTTGGAATAAGAAAAGTTGATGGAAAAATATGATCGTAGATTTTTCTCTCAAGCTGGGCGGAAAAAAATTGTTTCTTTTTCGATAAAACTATGAATACGTCAATAGCAATATTAGCACAGAAAAATTATAGTTAATGTCAAGGTCTAAACTGCTCTTAGAAAGGTTGGGGAACCAGTTTAAAATATCGAAGTTCGTGACTTTTACGATAACGAGAAATTAATTATCACACGTATCTTATTTTATTTATTAATCCCATTTTTTTTGAAGGGGGAGAACTTTATTCACTTCAAATTGTGTGAATGAAATTTCTAAGCTAGAAATATTCTCTCCTATGATGAAAACTTGTTTAAACAAGTTACAAGTTTTATATTTATTCTAAAGTAGCGTTTTCCAATAGACTATTTATAAGTTTCACGTATATATAATCAAGCTCAGATGTTTTCGAAGTTATAATTAAATTAAATATGTAAAAAAAATTGAACGAACCCATTTAGTTATCTCGAGTTTCAACCTCTTGAAAATGAAAATCACATAAATTTCGTAACACTTTGTACTAAAATATCGTTCACTTTGTACTAAAATTGATCTTCAAGGTTCGACGATAAACTCTATCTCATGTTTAATCAAAACAATCTCTCTTCTTAAATTGCTAAACATAAATAACAATCTCGATAATCTACTCTTCAAAGCATGCGAAATAAATCAATCTGATCAAATTTCCCATTCAAAAATCATAAAAACAAACTTTTATTATACACTAAATCTTCACATTTAGAGGATTTATTTTCAAATTAAACAAAATAAAAGTCATTCCATAAACCATAAATCAAACTTCACTCATCGTTTTCCACTTTATCAAAAAAATCATTTCAGATAAATTTTAAGATCTTCCTTTAGAAGATAAGTCTTAGAATTCAAATCTTTTTTCGCCTCATCGTTTCATCCAAACACTCAAAACTTCACTCACACTTCCCCACATTACTAAAACAAAAATCATTCCACCAACAAAATCATCTAAAATCCCGTTTCATAAATTTTAAAATCTTTCTTCAGAAGACAAATCTTAGAATCCATAAATCTTTTTTCGCCTCATCGTTTCATCCAAACACTCAAAACTTCACTCACACTTCTCCACTTTACTAAAACAAAAATCATTCCACGAACAAAATCATCGACACGTCTAAAATCCTCTTTCGCATGAAGATCCATAAATCTTGGAAACTTCGAAACGTTCAAAACTTCACTTTACCCTCACTTTACTAAAAAAAAAAAAAACAAACAAAAATCATTCCACGAACAAAACCTAAATACCTAAAAATTCAAACGTTCCAAACTCTTGGTTCATCGATCATTCGTTCATCGATCATTCGTTCGTTTACCTCAAAAAAAGGAATAAAAGCTCTCTTTCATTTACCTTCGTAATCGGCCAAACTTTCCACAGAACTGTACCCCTGTATCCGGGGTACGGTCAGATTGTTGTTCAAGTTGGCGTCGTTGGCCGAGGTATCGGTCTGGACATTCTCGCGGGTGATGGCGATCGAGGACCACGTGCTGGTGTCCTCGGCGACGCGGAAATCCTGGCCGACCTCCGCCACGAAATCGGCGTTGATCCGACTCGCCGCGACCGAGTCGGCGGCCGAGGTCTCGTTCCGATTCGCGATCTCCTCGGTGATCGGCTGGCTCTGCTCGCTCCTACGTAACTGACTGCGACCGAGACAGAGAAATGAGCCCAAGTGGATCGATACGTTCCGTTACCCGTACGATCTATGACGATGCAAATATAGGCAGCGTACACCCACGTAAGACTGTACGAGCAGTGGAAGGCGCACGAGCTCTTGCTCACCCACACACGAAGACTCCCCCCCCTTTCGTAATAACCGCCGCCTTTCAAATTCGCCAACAAATTCGCGATTTTTCTTTTTTATCGATCTTCACAACCGGTCTTCTTCGATGTTCTCTTCCCCTTTCGAGTGGCAATTAATTTTCTTAAATATTTTCACTCTAGATTTGTTGGGTCGCGTAATTGAGATTGGTTGGAAGAAGGAGAATTTTAAATATTCTCTTCGTGGACATCGAATTACGTTAATTATTGGATATTAATTCGGATTTAAAATTCGCGATAGATAGATTGTTGCAATTTGGAGTTTAGATTGATTGAAGGAAGAGAACGTTTGTAAATGTATTTTCTTCTTCATGGTCTACCTCGGATTTGCAGTCTATTTAATTAAGATTGTGATGAAGGAAAAGAATGTTTGTGTTTATTGTTAAATTTTGTTCTTCGTGATCAAGATTTAGATTTCAAATTGTTCGAGAAAGAAGAATGCTGTTGCGTTATTTATTTGATATTTATTTAAGTATTTTCTTCGTACTCTAATAGTTTTGCGAAGAAAAAAAATTTTGCTTTTCGAAAAGTATTGTTAATAACTTTCTTTTAAAACGTTTCAAGAGTATTCTTAAATTATGTAATGAAATATCGATAACGAAGATCATAGTTAATTCATAGTTCTTCATTAAATCGAAGTATTAAATTTTTTATAATATAATGCGCACAATTATCTCGTTCGATATTTTAACGAATTATTAAATTAAATCGAGAGGATCCCTTGTAATATGCTCCTCGATTAAAGATAAGCCTTATTAAACACTCCTTCGTCTTTCTTTTTAAACGACAAAATAGTCGAACGTTAATGTCAAATTAACTCGAAAGGTTAATCTCTATAACGAGATTTCATTATCCGTTAAATGCATTGATTAAAAAATTTTACTCGTTGCACCGTTTTATCTTCGAAGAAAATATTTATTCCTCCTCCGCTACAATCTCAATCGTACGATATTCAAGGGAAATAAATCTCAAAAAACTTGTTCAAAATTTCAATACAGTGTAAAATCCAATTTCTTCTTCTATTTTTTTTTTTTTTTTTTTCCTCAAAAAAGACGTACAATTTTCATTCGATTGTCGAGAGAGGACGATACACCGATGTAAATAAAATGCACACACGTATATCTATAAAATTAAAACACACGGTGCAAAGGAAACGAATTCTCTCTACGAGAGATCAAACAGCAGGCGGTCGTTAAACTGGATTTGGAACGACAAGCAATTCGGAATGCTGTACAACACATCTTTCGAGCTCGCCTCCGACGAGTTCGACGATCGTGCCCGTTAAAAAAAATCCCTTTTGTGCTTTAACAGTGCAATTTCATCGCCATAGGAGATCATCATCATCATCATCATCATCATCAAGACACTGATAAATAAATAAATACGCGTGCGATGCTTTTGTTTGTTTTGAGAACGCAACAAAGAAAAAAAGAAAAAAAAAAAAAAAAAGAAAACGAAATCCTGTCGTGTGTCGCGTGTGTCGTGGAAAATAAAACTCGCATGCACGCGTTCGCCATCGTTCTCGAAGAGTATCGAGGGGATCTATGCGAAGCGAACAGCTGTATCTAATAAAAATGAAACGACATACTAACGAAAGAACTAAGAAAAAAAAGGGGAGAAGAAGGGGAGGAAAGAAGATATTATTAATAATTTCGTGGAATCGCTCGTCAGAGGAGGGGAAGGGGAGGAATGTACGATCGTAAAGATACAGTAATGGAGCATTAATCCTCGGAGTATCGGGCAGTTCGACGATCCCGCTGAGAATTGAGAGTCTTACGGACTTACTAATGATATCCATTACTTTTTACCACGAGCAGAACATCAAAGGGAGAATTCAATATTTTCTCGACGCTCCAACTCCCTTATAACGGCTCTCGTATTTAAACATTTCTTCTCGTCAGCGAGAAGAAATTTTGGAAGAAAGAATTTGGATGATACTCCGAGAATTAAGAGAAAAGAAAGGAAGAAGCAAAATCAGGAGGAACATCGTTCGTTCGAGAAGAATTGGTGGGAGGAGAAACAAAGGGGTAGCAAAAGTTCATGCGACACGATCGGCTCTCGTATTTAAACATTTCTTCTCGTCGACGAGAAAAAATTTTGGAAGAAATTTGGACGATACTGCCAGGATTAAGAGAAAAGAAAGGAAGAAGCAAAATCAGGAGGAACATCGTTCGTTCGAGAAGAATTGGTGGGAGGAGAAACAAAGGGGTAGCAAAAGTTCATGCGACACAATCACTTGTTGCGGCCTGTGTGTGTGTGCGCGCGTGTATGCCTCTGTGTGTATGCGCGTGTTCGATGCAAAAAAATGTGTAATATGAATATTTACAAATATACGAGAAACATCGAAAAATCTACACGTTGGTTGGTTGCTTTAATTTCTGATTCTGCTTTTTTTTTTTTTTT